CTGCATGCTGTATCTGGCCGGAGGAGAATTCCCAGATGGCTCAGCCAGCAGAGAGATGTGGCGCTATGACCCCTGCTTTGACTCTTGGTTAGAGATGGCCCCCATGAATGTGGCAAGATCAGAATTAGGTGAGGCTTGTATCATCTGTTTCTTCAGTCATTCCACTCTTATATTCTCTTACAAAGTCACTTCACGTCTTTTAGCAGGAATTTGTGTCATTTGGCAGGTTTTCATCAGAGATTCAGGCAGGGATTTTATGAGGACAATGTTCATCAGTTTGGAATGTTTGGCAAGCTAATAGATAAACCTATTTTTTGTCACTTTTATTAGTAGGATTTGAAAAAGTAAGAAAAAAACAAATAAAATTGTGCACACAGTTAACAAAGTTATTGATGAAAACATGTTGATGATAAGTTTTTAAAAGAAAAATGTATGCAGCAACAGTTTTTTTGCAGGAAATTATATAAATATATAAAAAGGACTTTCTCTTTCTGTAACTCACTTTGATGGAAACAAGCTACCGGCAACCAAATTTGCACTTTGTTGTAACATGTAAAGTCCGGCTAAAGTTTGTTTTACCTGTACTGAATTCTTTTCTGATTTTAAACAGGTAACACTTTGAACTGAACAGAAATAGGCTCTGTTTCAGAGTCTGGTGTTGTAGAGGGTGGAGTTGTTAATTGGTTTTGACTCCCCACAGGTCTGGTGATGCTGGATGGATATGTGTTTGCGGTAGGAGGCTGGGAGGGCCGCTCTCGTCTGGACTCAGTCGAGTGCTACAATCCTCACACTAACACCTGGCAGTTTCTGGAGTCGGTGAAAATGGCGGTTACCAGTCCTGCTGTCGTTGCACTGGATGGTTTACTTTATGTCACAGGTAGTGTATTCAGTTTACACCTGCTGCTTGGCCTTTCAAAACCAGGAGTCTTTGGGTTCTAACGAAAAGTCATAATAAAATGCAGGAGGCGCTGTTCTGGAAGATGGAGATGGAACTGACCTAGCACAAGTCTACAACCCTAAAACGCATGTGTGGACAGAAGTTGCCCCCATGCAGATTGCCCGCTCCGGCTCTGCAGCCTGCACCTTGAAGGGCAAGATCTATGTAATAGGTGAAAAAGAAACAGCTGTTTATGAGATATGCTTGACAGTTATTTTGTATGGCATTACCTCCTATTTGGATTTTATTTGGCATTTACTTCAGTTCTTCTTCTGCCAAGGTGGCTGGCATGCCTCCACTGAAAACACAGACAAAGTGGAATGCTATGACCCGAAGAGCAACAAGTGGACTATGTGTGCTCCAATGAAGGAAAGGCGCTATCGGCCTGGAGTGGCAGTTGTGGATGGGAAGATCTATGTGTTAGGAGGAGAAGAGGGCTGGGACAGGTCAGACATGATGCCAGATACCGTAATAAAACTGAGTGTCTGACTGCTACGTTTGTTGTCTTCTCCAATCATAATTAGTCTGTTCATGTTTGTGTGAATATTAATCAATGTTTATTGTTGTACCACCATATCCCATTGAAGTGATAGATATCTGAGTTTTTCCACATTACATTAATTTCTTTATAGCTTACAGAGGATGTTTTAAAAGTTTAATTAAGCCTGGTGCTACTCTTAATCTTTGCAAAAGATTGCAAAGCCCTTTTTGTTAACGTTGCTATTTTTTGGTCCATTTTCTTAAAGTTAGCCTATAGAGATTTTTTGTTAAACTTAGACGTAGCATTACTTTGTAGAGAAAAAAATACACTAAAACATGGTGTCCTTGCACTGGAAAAGCCCAGAATATTCATACGCTGATTCATAAGTCAGATCCGTCAGGTCACATTTGGCAGGAGTTTTTTGGACTCATATTCCTATACGGATTGACAGTACAATCTTGACTCGAAGGGTCCAGCTGGATGGACCTGGACACCAACTGTAGAGGGCCCAGATTATAGTGTCAGTAAGAATGACAGTGTTAGGAAAGCATAGTGGATAACACACAGTAGACCGAAGGTTTGATTCACTGTCCAGGCAGGAAAGCCACTGCTACACAGTGTCCTTGGGCAAGACTCCTAATACTACATTTGTCTACCTTTATACACCAACCAGCCACTTCATTAAAAACATCTCCTTGTATCTACACTCATTACCATATTGGTGCACCTTGTAGTTCTGCAGTGGCACATTGTAGTTCATCTGCTTCTCTGCATAATTTGTTAGCCCCCCTATTATCCTGTTTTTCAATGATCAGAACCCCCACAGAACCACAACAGAGCAGGTATTATTTGGATGGTGGATCATTCTCAGCACTGCAGTGACACTGGCATGGTGGTGGCATGTTAATGTGAGTTTTTAAACACCTCAGTGTCACTGCTGGACTGAGAATAGTCCACCAACCAGAAATATCCAGCCAGTGTTCTGTGACCACCGATGAAGGACTAGAGTATGACTAACAAACTGTGTAGCAACAGATGAGCTACTGTCTCTTACATCTACAAGGTGGACCAACAAAGAAGGTGTGTCTAACAGCGGACAGTGAGTGGACACAGTGTTTAAAAACTCCTGTAATACTGCTGTATCTCATACACTCATGCAACACACACTAACGCCTACCACTGTCATGTCAGTGTCACTGCGGTGATAAGAATGATCCACCACCCAAATAATACCTGCTCTGTGGTGGTCCCGTTAAGGACCTCACCATTTAAAAACAGGGTGAAAGGGGGCTGTCAAAGAATGCAAAGATACAGATGGACTGTTAATAGACTCAGGCGTGTGCAAGGTTAATAGACTCAGGCGTGTGCAACTGATTTAAATCTACTAATCTTCTAAAATCTAATCTTCTAAAATATGCCTGTTCTCTAATGTTAAGCTGTGTGCATACTTCTTTCCACTCAGGTACCATGACACCATCGAGCGGTACTGTGAAGAGACTGACACCTGGGAAATTGTGGGTGAGATGCCAACTAGTCGGAGCTGGCTGAGCTGTGTGTCGCTCCAGCTGAGGAAAGACACACATGCCGCCAGTCACCCCGGCGCTGCCTCTGAGACCGAGTTCCCCGTGGACTGAGGGCATCAAGGTACCTGGTGCATTTAAGCCTCATACTCTGTGTGCCTACCACACCCAGCAAACACTGCATCTGCGTGCGTGCAAGAGAAGGCCAGGAGGGCTGCTCTTCAAGTGCTCGCCGAATGTAGTTTTCAGTTTGCCGCTTGGCTGTGGAAAAAGGACACACTGACCCACTGACCGGTCTTAAGAAACTAGTTGTGTGGTAATCTGTCCTCTGGGTCCATTCCACAACCATGGATGGATAGAAATCAGTGGTTATGTGTAAGAGTGTATGTGTACCCACAGTGTCATGTACATCACCCACCCGAATCTGTGAAAAAAGGTATACAGGGTTCCTACATGTGTTAGCTCTGAGCACCATGATTGTGGAATACTGATGTGGTTTTGCCCTTATCAGTTGCAGTTGTGAAGTATTTTTGTACACATATTTGAATGGTGGTTTTGTATTTATTAGGTTATGTTAGACATTTTATGGAAGTACGTTATCTATTGATTATATAGGAATCACTCCCAATTAATACTAAGACATTAATTTTACAGCATTTCAACTTAAGTGTCATCAATTTGACACGTACACTTTCACATGCAGCTATATACAGCTGTACACTTGATGTCAGCCACTAAACCTTTGAATTAATTTTTTAATCAGTAGTACTTTCTCAAATCACGTGATAAATTTGTTAATTTTCATTACGATTCAAGATTGCTATGAGTAAACGAACATAGCCTACACATTCAGAATGGTATTATGTCTTCAAAATTTGTCAGTGATGTATTTGGAGTATTGTAAGTGTTAATAAAAAAAAAAAAGTATTCAGGGTTAATGGTAAAATGTGTCATGTGTGTTTATATTCAGAACTGAAATTAAGTAGTTTCCTGCAGCCTCTACTAATATTTAAAGGGACATTCTGGCCTAAAACCACAGTCAAATATCTTGCGTGTCATGTTATGCTGTGTCCTGTAGTGCTGCATTATATCCTTCAGCCTTATTGGTTTGACAAAATTCAGCATCAAATGTTTTATCATTGTCTCACTACGATACCCAGCATGCATTGCTTAAATACATCAAAATCATTAGAAGTCTCTGTGAAGTTCAACCAATCCAAAGTGCTAGTGTAGCCACTGAAGCCATCTTCATTTAGAACTTTACACACCACAGACAAGTTTTTACCTTTCAGCCAGAGAAAAGAAGTTAAACTGAAATAAGGTTATTGGACAGCAAGCTACCTTTCTGAATTAACTTCCAGCTTACATTTCTCCTCATCTGATGAGTCATATCTGTAATCTGACGAGTCATTTTCTCCATTATAGTAGGGATTTCTAGACACTTGCTATTTATACATCTGCATTAAGACAGTTGGCTTCCTGGCGGTATGTTAGCTGTCTGCATTCGCCAGCTCAGAGCCCACCACTAAAAATCAACCCCAAAACTGTTGTTTTTCAAAAGGTCCACCCATCTTCAAGGTACATCATACAGAGGGTGGTTTCTTCTTCCAACCAGGAAAATCTTGCTCTAAAGACTAATACAGCAGGAGGTGTAGGAGGTGAATAAGCATGTGTGTAACAAACGTAGCAATGGTTACATTTTTCATATTGTCTGGGGTGTCCCTTTAACAAATACTGCAATAGAACGGGTTTTATTCCAAAATGCTGTATATCCATTGGAAACACTTTTGAAAAGAAAAGCAGCCGACGTATAATTGAAAACACACTTATTTTGTGCGTAAAACATGGTATTAACCAAAACATAGGCTTGCTATTTCTTAAATGTGTGAAGTGTGTAAGCCTGCTCTAAACAACATATATATTCTTGAAAAAAGGTGCTTCTTCCAAGTGGTTTGTTCTTTAAGATATTTTGGAATTATACTGCACAGATATGGACACAGCCCCTCAGAGCTTCCCCAGAATGGAATTGTTTGCACTAGCTTTAAAGTATGTATGCACAATGTAGGTGAGAATTGTGTTTATTACAAATATGAAAATACATTTCATCAGAGGAGATTCATGTAGACTTGTATGCATCACCATGTTGACATACTACTAGTTTTACAATAAAAAAATAAAAAGAACAGCTTTCAGGACCGTTAAACAGCTAGCAAAAGCAAATGTATACATGGTTCCAGGTGAGCACTAAATGTTTCGAAAAAACAGTAAACATTTTAAAATCTGGCCATTTTGAACAAAAAGAAAACAGAATAAAATGAAATGATGGGATCCTGGTGGTATCCCATCTTAGAAATAAGGAAAAAAACAGATGAGGCCAAACCATAAGCATACGTGCTGTATAAAATAACAAATTATACAGACTGATGAGCTCCCAGAGCCTTAATCAGACCAGCAGTCTCTCAATGGCCATCTGCACAGACTGTATCTGAGGTTTCAGCTGTGAGCCTTCCTTTATGGTGACTGAGGTGGCTATCACAGGGCGGGACACCCCACATGCTCGGCCCAAGGCCTGCTTGGAGCGCACAAACACATATGGGACGTTCTTGTCCTCGCACAGCAGAGGCAGATGAAGAATGATCTCCAGAGGCTCCGCATCAGCAGCCATCACGATGAACTCAGAGATGCCACGATTCAGAGTTTTAGTGGCTAAAGAAAAGAACAAGAGAGTCTTCATTAGATATAAATCGACCGATACCATGCATCAGATATCAGTAATAAGAATTATTAGGACATTCTTAGAAACAGATATTTGCAGCTTTAGGTATAGACTATTTTCCACTTGCCTTCATTGGCTCCTTTTCTCAGCTGTTTGTAATTGGCGGCTTGTTGTACCAAGTCCAGGATGGTTTTGGTCAAAGTAGCATCAGCCAGAGGGTACGCCTTTGGGTTCACTTCTGGTTCGGCCTGTAAGGAAATTGTATTAATAAATATTAGTATACAATATTGCATTTGGCTTGCTGAACACATTTAACGCTACCCATTTCAAGCACATAATCTGGGAATGAGGCAGGAAATGTTAGCCAGGTACAGTTGGACAGTATTGTGACAGAGGTTGGTGAGCAAAGTATATTAAAACAATACTTTCGTGAGGAGGGAAAAATAACCAATTTCTACAATTCTACAGGTACCCTACGTGTAGTCGATCCATCAAAACATGTTTGGTGTACAGACTTTCCTTCTTAATTTAGCATTGGAGCTACGAGTCTAACATTTCTAACAAACTCCAGACGTTTTGATAGTTTTGGGTGACTACTGACTTCGTGTTTGTAGGAAACAAACGTCTCATAGTTCACAGATTTTACAAAATGTCTACATAATTCAGTCAGTGAGATGTAAACAACCTCATTTGGAGTGGTTTGATATGAAATGATTGTCAAGAAACTTGCCAACTTAAATATCTTTACACTGGTGCTGATAGAAACTGGGGTCACCATGTTTACAACTGCCATTTTATTTACCATCCAAAACCACCAGTGTATCTACATGTGTCTCGAGTTTTTTTGTACGTGATGTTGATCACGGTAAAATAGTGGTAAAATTGGAAACATAATTCTTCGGGGGACTATTTTGCCTCACAATACCCTACATGTACAAGTATGAATGGCTTTTTAAAACGTGTTTCAGGCGAAACTTTCTTAAAACAATGCCTCAGACATTAGCCAACATATTTGTAACCGCATAATGTAGTAATTTTCTGTGAGGGAGTTTTAGAGTTGGACGTCTGGTTCCTATCACCACCACTGTGATCAATTCTTACTCAGTGAGTTTTTCTAGAACAGGGCATTTCTAATCAAATCACTCGATTACTTTGTTTACATCTGTGAATTCCCCCGTCATTTTTGTTCAGCGACACAAATATAACACTCAAGTCGACAGTAACTCAAAACTTATCCTCTGAAAAACATTTAGCTAGCTAAGCAGCTAATGTTTGTTAGAATCGTTAGCCTCTTAGCTCCAGCGCTAACGTAGAGGAGCAAAACGCGGACCCCTAACGTCCTGGCTGATCGATGTAATAGTCTAGAAATTAGTTTTTTTATTTGTCATTTTTGTTGTCATTACTTACATTTACCAAAACATTTATTATTGTCTAGTTATTAATATATTTATCTGTTAGTGTTGCCATGTTTCATTTCACGACGCTGAAGTTGGCTTCGTGTTCACCAGCTTCTTGATCGAATTTTCCAGTTCCACCTTAAATCGCGCAGCTGTTACATTCTGGCGCTTGATGCATTCACCAAAACGTAGCTGCTGCACTATTTAAGGTGGAACGGGAGAAATCGAACATGAAGCCGACTTCAGCTTCGTATGAACGCCGATGTCTCGTGGCTGGCTTCCTATGGTAGCCTTAGCTTTCCCGCGAACACAAACAGAGTAACAAACCAGTCAAATCTAATTAAATGAAACTGCAGATTAAACCACTTTACAACGACTCTAAATTTATAGCTAATACGATTAAACACACTGTGTTCATGTTAATAAACTACGATCTGAGGACACCGGCTGTCTCTGTTAGCATCTACAGTAAAGCTAACCAAGCTACCGGCCTCAGAACAACGTGCGAGCTGAGCTCCACACGCGGCGATGAATAACCCACCATTATTCCCGCTGGAGTTTACAGATCACGCGAACAAGTCGTCTGGTCGTCCTCTCGGCGTGTGCTTCACGGAGGACAATTAACCTGCTTCAACCGACAACCGAATTAAACGCTGAAAGTAATTATGAATGTTTTTCAACAGCAGCTCTTCTTTAACGTTACGAGCTTTACTTGATTTCGCAGTTCAGTTCTTCTCTGGATTTTTCTCTGCGTGTGGGTTTCACAGAGTTTGGTAAGGTTGCTCTCTAGTGGAGCTTCTTGGTATTGCACTCACTTGGCTCTGGATCCCACATCATCCTTCATGAGGCCCTGTCCCAAACGGCGCCCTAAAGCCCTGCGGTCCACATCCAAGACGTAGTTACTTAGACGTAGAGAGCAAGACACCTCGAGGGCGCAAGGTTTAAAAGTGTGCATCAAGGATCAGGGAAAATCAGGGAAAGTAGACAGAAAAGGAAGTTTCATTCAACTACTTGGACGCAGCCCTGTAGTATCATCTGCGTCCCATAGATGCCTACCATATACTAAATATGACTTTATGCTTTCTACAGATGAGTACTTGACACGACGTATACATACATAATACATTCTATAGATGCATATTATATAGTAAATATGCATTATACACATCGATGCATACTATATATTAAATATACATACATTCTATACATGTACACATATTGAATATGCATATTACATATTTCATATGATATACTATGTACTATACAGTTAAGTATAATGAATTATATACATTCATATTCCATACTAAATGTAAACACCCACTACATAAAAATGCATACTACATGCTACACATAAATGCATTCAACATAATATGCAATAATATGTGCTACTACATTCTATAGATGCATACTATATGGTACAAGTGCATATTACATACCACATTTGTTTAATTTAATAATGCACAATGCACTCGATAGACACATAATACATATTAAAGACGCTTACTGCCTGCCATGTAATAATGCATACTACATTGTGTAGATGCATCCTATACCTAAATATAAAGGTACTACATGCTACGGATGCACACTACCTAATAATGCATACTGCATGCATACTAAATACATACGAAACCTGCAAATTTCTGAGGCTTCTGACTCGCAAAGGTTCACCAGCCAGGAGTCTAAAGTTTCTTAAGATGCAAACTACATACGACAGACGCATAATACATAATAACGTACATAATACAAATATAATATATAAGTAATATATAAATAGTCACCTCCCAGATAGAAATAATATGGAACTCTAATACTACTATTAGTACTATTTTTAATAACTTAGAGTTATTAATAATAATACTAATAAAGAATTTCCTTCATGCCACGCAGGACCGTCCAGGTTTGCGCTCCTGAGTGGCGGCCGGTAATGGTTCCGTCTCCAGACGTCATTGCGGAACTCATGAAAGCTGCGACTGCTCAGTGTCAGGTCGCCCGTCTATGTCTGCCTTTGCCTGCTGGCTGAAGAAAGAAGGGAACGCAGTCATGAGAGGAATCCAAACTCTTAATCAGCTCTCTGTACGTTTTATTTCATCCTCTGCTACATCCCGGTCTCCTGATAATACTGTATAGAAAACTATATGGGGTGGATTTGTTATTCCGTTAGCTTCAGGCTAGCAGGCTAGTCTGCCCGGCTAGAAATAAAGTACAGCTAGGCAGCTAACCGCTAACTAGCTACCTGCTAACCGGTGTCAGTTATCTTGCTGGTTGCTTTTAGCATAAACATTTATAACCGCCAAAAAGAGCTGTTTAGAGCACATTTAAGGCGAGAGCCCAAATAAGTGCGATAGGTGCTGTGATTTACAGTCAAGTGCAGCGAAATGTCAGTTTCCATTCGCTGAAGGTCATTGCACGTTTTGTGTTTTTGGAAAAACACCAGTTAGCTAGTAGTCCAGTCTTACTGCTCCACAGTGCCTCAGTTTTCTCAGTTATGTTTCTTTCACACTCTTACAATGAAAGAACAGCGGTTAACTTTGCTAGCCTGCTAGCTAAAGTCATATGGGACATCGAGGACGCTGATATTCATCTGTTAGCCAAGACTCCTGGCGGCTGTGTCGTTAAAGCGAACTATGAAAGACGGTGTTATTATGTTACGGTTTGATTGGATTGAAACAAACCTTTGGAGGTTTGTCCTTTTATAACATCGTCAAAACGCTGGAAAACAAAATCTCTTTAGTGCAAACTTATGAATCATGTCAAGAACTGTCTTATAGGTGGAAAAGAACCGGAAGTGAACCTGGCCATGAGCCTCTGTGGAAGACTGATGGGAGTCTGTAACATAAGTGATGCTCTTATTATGAGTTTTCTCAAGTTTCTTTTGTGAAAACCATGTGAATGAGTTATACAAAATGTAGCTGATGTTAAATTACATGCAAGCATCCGTGCAAGGTTTAATGTGAAACGCTCCATTCTTGAGAAACTTACAGAGTCAGCATTGTTCACAGTGCTGTTGACAGAAACCAGATGTCAGATGTTGAAGCATTTTGTTGCCTCTAAAAGCTGCCTCACAGAAAGGTACTACATAAAACAGTTACCTGATGCTGAAGAGATTGCTTTCTGCTACTTTTAAGAGCTTTGAGCCTAAAACATATGTATTCTAATCAGTTCATGGTGGACAGGTACATGTGAGGTATTGTAAGGCAGGATGGCACCCAAAGAAAACATGTTTTTGGATTTATTACTATTTTATCATTATCAACTATAATGCAACATCTTGCAGCGAAACAGTCTGTGTGGCTGTGAAATTAGCTGAACTCCACGTCTGTAAAGTATTGGAATCTTAAAATAACCATTCCATCATATGATTAATGAGGTATGATAATCCTTGTGATGTAATTTTTGGGGATTTTTGATGCAGTCTTTTAAAAGTCCCTATAATCTGGTGTTTTTACCAGTGCACAAGTTTAAAAGTAACACTGTGACCTACCTGTGACATTGCACAATCTGCCTATATTGCACAGGTAGTGAATGTAGTATTTCTATTTGAAAAGTTTTCCACAGAGGTTGGTTGAAGGGCACACATTTTATAACACTCTCTGTACCTTGTCTGCTTTTGGACTGTGTATTCCTCATGTCCTTTATAGATAAGCATAGACTAAAAAGGGGAGTCACAGCCATGATTTGGTTTGTTTGCTCCAAAGAGATTTCAGTGTGATATTTTATTCAGGAGTTGCTTTTTTACTTATCTTACTTAATGTATACAGCTTACATGTTCTAAACAAAACCGTTTTACTGTTGTTCACCACAGAAACGATGCTATGCTGCCACAAGGATCGCCCCTCTGAGTGAACCACTGGTTTCTCCCAAGCCGTCCTCATCCGTTGCCCGCCCTGCACAGGATGTTCAGGTACAGCTGTTTACCCTCCTTATTTTACCCCACGCTTGTTATTTCCAACACAGTCTACCGTTGCCACTCACTTTACAAATCTCAAATTCCTTTTCCATGAATTAGTCAACTAGCTATATATTTTACAAGAGTTTCTATTGGTCATGTGTGGCCAGTTATTTATGAGGCTACAGTTGATCATCATTAGGTTTGAAGGATGATAGTTCCACTACCATGTAGACACAGAGTGTTGTCAGCTAAAAGTATCTGTCAGGGACAGCAGTAAGTGCTGCCCTCCAATACATTAAAAGGCCCAAACAGCCTTTTTTGAATACATTGTTTTTGTGATGTCACGAAAACCAACAGCTAATTAGCCTACAGCAGTTCAGTCTCACCCATTCACACTGAAGTTATAAGAAGTGTTTCAACCTGGACTGCTTTTTGAGCGTCAGTCAATACAGAGCAGCCAATCACAACAAAAATCATTGACATATTTCAGTCTTAAACGCACTGTAACAAAAACAGCCTGTTTAATTGGGTTGATAGTCATGTAAAAATAAATTATGACTGAGATTCTTACATAAAACCACACATATGTAAGTGGAATTCATGGCATAAAGAAGTAACATACAAGAAAAATGTAGGATATGGGCTCTAAGTATTGGATGATGCTACATGTGTGGCAGTTCGGTTAGTAATCAGGACAGTGGAACTGGCCTTTTGTAGGGATACACAATGAAATCGGGATCATAAGAGGGCAAATAACTGTTAAAAATATTGGTATCAGTTTTTTTAGATTTGACAGATGTTTAGATTTCAAACCATTTTTTGTATTCTGCAAGAGGAGAACATTTAGGTGATGCTAGATTACTGTGCTAAAATGTCTGTAATGCTATAGAAATAACTGTTATATCTCTTTGTAAGGCTAATCTGGGTTTTGTATTATTTTCTAAATTTTTAATTGTTATGTATTGGAATTGACTGACAGATATAAGCATATCACATTTAGCATACTGAGGTTTTATTGGGAGATGGGGTGGGTGGAGAGTAGGGTTGTCACAATACCAATACTCAATCAAAAAAAAAAACTATGGCAAAACATTCAAATCATAATCATTTGTAACCCCAGTGTTTATTAGATCAAACAGAGAAAAATACTGAAGTTGATATGGTTAGTTAACATCTCTTTTTCAAAGTCAGTCCCTGATTTATTTCAGCCTCTTATTTTATCAGTAAAACCTCTTAAAGTGTTAAATAAAGCAAATGAGTAACTTGACTAATTCAAATCTGGCCTAGTTCAGCGTGAAGGGAAGGTTAAAAGTCAGACAAGGACATACACTATATGATTCATCACACTGTGTTTAAAACAAAAACAGACTCAGTTGTATCTGTTGATTGTTATAAGAAGCATAAGGTCATATATGTTGAAAGTCTTCAACCCCCTATGTTTTAGATATGCTAATGGAAATGTCTCTGCCTATCATATTAGTATGAATAATTTGACTGGCCGGTAGGCACAATACTAGTTCAGTGTAGTTTTAGTGTATTTAAATAAAAAATTGAAAGTATCAAAAGGTGGAGCACTGAAATATATACCACATACTACCATAACATAGAAAAAGCTTTGAAGTATTGCATTATGATACATGTGCAACACTAGTTAAGTGGTTCTTTTTTGTGTGTAATTCAGATCTGTGAAAGCTGTTGCTTGCTTGTATCCTTTCATGTTTTAAAGGCTTTTGTTTGTCCTGTGTTTTAGGTCTCTAAGCTTCCCAGTGGTCTTATTGTTGCTTCCCTTGAGACGTGCTCTCCCGTCTCCAAAATCGGAGTGTTTGTGAAAGCCGGCAGTCGCTATGAACCTGTGGGGAACCTTGGAGTCACTCACTTACTGCGCTTAGCAAGCAATCTGGTAAGATTGAAGGGTTTACATTTAAAGGATCTCTTTAGCTGCCACTGTGTAAATGCATGAGATTCAAGAGGAGGCTTTTGGAGTATTCAGTAGCTGTGAATAGAAACTGGGTAATAACAGTTTAGTCTTTGAATTAACAATTAATCTTCATATTTGAAATGGAATGGGCACCAGACCTGCAGCCCTGCAGAGAGAACCATTTGCAGCTAAGTATGATTGAAATTCTATTTATTCCGTAGAATCATGTGGTTCTTGTAAACTTTAAGAATATCTCTAAAGTCTTGAGACAGCTGCCTAAACTTGCCTAAATGAGGTAATTAGGCAAATATGGTTTTCTTGAGGAGCACTGTGGTTCAAAACAGCTCCTAATCTGTGTCCAACCACTAGATAAAAAATACCTTTCACAAGAAAACAAGAAAATGTCTTTCTCTTAATTTTCAGACCACTAAAGGAGCGTCTGCATTCAAGATCAGTCGAGGGTTAGAGGCTTTAGGGAGCACTTTGAGGTTTGTTGAGCCCTTCAATGTTTTCATATGACCTGCTATAAAATAAGCATGGGCACAAATCCATGCTGATTAGGATAAAGAACAACTTTACTTCTCTTACTGCTGTCTCATATTTGATTGCAGTGTAACATCAACAAGGGAACACATGGTCTATTCTCTAGACTTTCTGAGGGATGATTTGTAAGTATCTGTGTCCTGTTTTGCAACATTTACTGTACACAATTTATTGCATTACATATATTACATTGTACTGTATTATAGGTACACTTTTTAACTACACTCATTATCCTTTTTATCAGGTACATCTAGCATATGGGTACACTTTGTAGGTGTACAGTTACTAAGGGTGTGTTTACAGTTGTAGTTCTGATCTCTTGGACTAAACCAAAGCATTGTTGCATTTTAGTTCTGGTTCGCTGAACGTTTACATTGGCATATTTTATATTGAACCAAACTGGAGGTTGGCAATATGACAATATTTTGTCATTATCATGATAATTTATGTCACAGTATTATTTTCTGAGTATCGGATATCGTTTGCACTTGAGCACTGACCAAGTTACAAAGGGGAGCATAATTAGGCCTGTTGAATTGGATTTGGCGCAGTGAGTGCACGAAACATTGAATAAAAGTTATTGTTTTCATCATTTTTGATTGTATTTTTTTAGTTTGGCACTGGTGGAACTTTTTTTGGTCTGTTCCAACTTACCAAACTTCTTCAAGTATCTTGATGCGCTATTTTGGCCGTGTCTCCCACCCCTTAACCAAAAGATGTAAACAAAAGTCATGTGGACAAAAAAAGTCACAACTGAAAGGACAGATTTTATGATGTACTTTTGGTGACAATAACTGGGGTAATATCCAGTAAACATTTTGAATCTGGCTAAGCTGAGATCATTGATTTTAATGTAAATGTATGTCTTGTTTCATGTCTTGTTATATTCTAGAGCAATAAGACATCCGCGCATCATAATGGTTTCCCATGACTCAAAGCGTGGTGAAATCCATGTAAAAAGAAAAGGCCTTGAGTGTCTCTGCTTTTTTAAAATGTTGAAACCATGGTGCAATAATATATAAAATAATGTATGTGTGCAGGCATATGTATTTAGCCTATATAGCATATTTTATAATGCTTGAAACATGCCTCAGCCACACTTCAAAGCCGAAATGATCTGTTCTGCGATTACTGAGCTTATAAGGAGGTGATAAACATGTCAAAATGGTGTCTGAAATGTGTCTGCTTCTCGTACTCAAGAAGATGTGTAGAGAATAGATGACGATTTACTTTGTGTTTGGTCTGTTTGGATGTCTTTGGTTTGTTTTGTGTCCATATTTCAAACGAACTTTGCGAACTTTCATGTGGAAGTGAATCGAAATCGACCTTCTCAGAGGGTCTCAGCCCACATATTAAGTGAGCCGCAGAGGGATTTCATGGCAGCATTTTCACTTGTTCTAACAAAACTCATAAACAGAGCAATTACACTAGTGTTTGCTTTAATCAAACCAAACCTGTGGGAGCACACCCTAACTGTGGCCCATCTTTTCCTGCACAGTATATCAGCCATCGTCTGCCCTGTCCATCATTGGAAAAGGATCACCATAAGACCACCACTGACTAGATATTACTTGATGGTTCATTCCCAGCGCAGCAGTTTCATACATCAGATGAAGCAGCATTGCTGGGGTTTTTAAACACCTCGCTGTTCATGCTGGGTTGAGAATAGTCTGCCAACCAAAAGAGACTGTGTTTCTGGACCCAGAAGATGACCGCTGATGAACACAACTCATGGAGAAAAGCTAACTGTAGACCTTCAAGGTGCACTAACATAATAGGTGTGCCTAATTAAGTGGACAGTAAGCATACGCTTCTGTGCCAAGAATGGTCCACCACTCAAATAATATCTGGCCAGTGCTGGTTCTGTGGTAGTCCCTTTAAGTTGACGGAAGGGGTAGAGGGTGGCTGATAAATTGTGCAGCAACAGATCAAGTCAAGAATTGTATACCTACATAGTCCACCTATAAGGCATGTATTTCTGATAAAATGGTTAGTCAGTGTAAATACACTGGGGCAACTCTGTGTATACTCACAGCGGCGAGTGTATGTGTTCTAAGTTTTTTCCGATGACCTGTGACATTGTGCTTGCTGATGCTGATGCTCCAAGTTTATTGTGCATTCTTTCTGTGTCCATCACAGTGACAGCGTTATAGAATACCTGATCGATGTGACGACTGCTCCTGAATTCAGGCCCTGGGAAGTGTCTGAGCTCACGTCCAGAGTGAAGATAGACAAGGCCCTGGCGGAACAATGTGCCCAGACAAGTCAGTGCCCTCTCTACACTCCTTTTGTATTGAAGCGCATACAAACATATTTGGTTCTCTGTGTGCGCTTTTGAAATGGTTAGTTATGATGTTGTATTTTGTCTGCCTAGGTGTCCTTGAGAAGCTGCACCAAGCAGCATATAAAAATGCCCTGTCAAACTCTCTGTACTGTCCAGACTACAGGGTTGGAAAGATCACTGGAGACCATGTAAGTCTTAATGAAGTACTGATTAAGTGCTGTTGATTATCATGAGATGCATCAGAATAAACACAGGCGGTTTTTTAAGAGCAAAAGGGAATTTGATTCTTCCAGAAAAGGTCTGTTCACCAAAATGTAAGTTGACACAACCTGTCGAATTCATACTCCACACTTCAAATAAATAGTGGGCAACATATCACCAGAAAGTTGTGGTGTTCACCTCCATCGTAAGAAACAAGGAAATGCACAGTCCCTCCCTTTTTACTTCTCCCCTCCTTACCAGTCTAGAAGAACATTGCAAGTTCAGCATCAAACTTCATCCCTTTACTTACCAAGAGCTGTCTTCAGCAGTGGAAAGCAATGCCAATTTAAATGCTTGTTCTGCTTCTATTTATGTCACTTCTTTTCTCTGCTGCTGAACATGGTTTCTAGCCGGGAGTGGGCGGCGGTGGTGAAAATGTTTGCTTGCCAAAAGTTTCAACCATAGTTGCGTCTGCTGTTCCTTTCATTGGCTACCTATCCCTAATTGATTTAACTGGGGTGGTACACTCAACATGATTGGCAAGAGGTTCCCTCATGTTGGACTGATAGCAGACTCATGTTGGACTGATAGCAGACTCAATGCTGCAGTGACTCATTATTGCCTCTTAAGGTACACAGTGGTATTATGAGACAGGACAGTCCAGGGCTAGCTGGTCAGCTTGTTAACTTTAGTAGCTATTTCTGCAACACGATGCATAGATGTCTTTGACATAACATCAAAAATGTTATTTCTTTACATCCTGTTGATAATTTTAGGTAATTTTAGAATGTTTTAAAGTAAAAATCTTTAACCTTTAAAATAGCAGTACATTAAGCAGTATCAAAAAGTACATTTCAGTGTGTCTGTTTAAGATTACCTAAGAGTTTGATGTGGTCCGAGTCAAGTGTTCGAAGATTGGCTTCCATTGCTAGTTAGCTTCAATTAGCCTCATAATTCATAGCAAACTTCGGACATCAAACTTGCTTTGTTCATTTGGAGCAAGAGGGAAAATTGTGAATGTTTGATTTTTGGCCAAACTGTAACTAAATAATATTTTTGCTTAATTGTAGATGCAAGAATTTGTTGCGAACAATTACAAAAGTGCAAGAATGGCTTTAGTTGGAGTAGGTGGGTATATTGTTTGTTCATTTCTTGTCATCTTAACACCTTTTCATAAACTATGTTCAGCATACAGCCTCCTGTGAAATGTAACTGTGCTACATTTATCCGCTCTCATAATTCTAATTGTCTCATTACCATGGAATGGGATTCTGCTTCTGAGTTATTCTGTATGTAAACGTAGGGTATGAGTATTAAATTACATTACTTAGTGTATTTCTGGAGCTGCAGTGCAGTGTTGCTGTCAATACTGTATGCAGGCTAAAGGTCAATTTCCCTGCTGTAATATCATCTCTTTTCCTTCTTCTCCTTATATAGGAGTGAGCCATTCTGCTTTGAAGCAGGTGGCAGAGCAGTACCTTGATGTCCACAAAGGGTTAGGAATGCCTGGAGACAAGGCTGTGTACCGTGGAGGTGAGGCCACTGTTGCGCAGAACTCAGTATAATGGCTGAACTTAACTGCTCTCAGATCAGGGTGTTAGGAGGTTGGTTAAGATTTAGTGTGGATTACAGCTGTTTTTGTTCTCAAAGCCTTATGCTGAAAAATGGTTGTATCTGTGTTGATTCGTGATATTTTTACATTAGACTGAAAATGCAAAAGGACATCACTAGCCAGGTTTCTGTCCAACTTAGGCATAGTTTCCATCCGTTGTTTTGAACACTTCTGAGAAATATAAGCACATATATATGAGTTTACAGAGAAATCTTTAATGTTTTGCAACTTCTTTGCTGTTTTGTTTAATTATATAGCTGTATTTCCATTGTAGTTTATTGCATTTCTCTCTTTTTTTTTTTTTTGTCTGGGGGAAAAAAATGACCTAACCTCACCTGAGAACAAATCCCAAATAAGAAAACACTGGTGAATGTCAGAGTCTTTGTGAAAACTGAATAAGTGAGTTTTAAGAAGAAATTTCTTCTTAAGAATGGTTGGTGAATGAGGCCAAATGAGATTGTGTATGGAAATACAGTGTATGTGGAAATATAAAGCCGAGGTTATCAGTCAGAGAAAACAAGCTAGAAAAGGGAGGTTTTCAACTGAACAAACAATGGAACTGTAACTGGAGTAATTATCAAGGCTGAAACAAGGTTTCTTACCCACTGGGCTGATTAACTGTAATCAGCACTCAATTGTTTAGTTAACAAGGTAGTTCAGTTAATCTGTCTGTGTGTGTAGGTGAGCTGCGTGTCCAGAATGGAGACAGTCTGACGCACACACTGGTAGCCTGTGAGGGGGCTGCGAGTGGCACAGCGGAAGCCAACGCCTTTAGCTTGCTTCAGCAGCTTTTGGGAGCTGGCCCTCAGGTCAAGAGAGGCTCCAACGTCACCAGCAAACTCAGCCAGGGCATTGCCAAGGCAACCACGCAGCCCTTCGATGTCAGTGATGCCTAATAGGCAGTTTTTAGACATGAATCCACAGAAATGAGTGATTTCAGATGTAGCTGTTTCTAATCAATTGTGTTGTTCCCCTCTTGAAGGCCACAGCTTTCAATGTCTCTTACTCCGACTCAGGCCTCTTTGGACTGTATACGATTGCACAAGCTGACTCCACCAGGGAGGTGAGAGCTGAACTCTATTTTTTGCTGTCATAAAGCCTTTGAAAGCCTTTAGCATCAGAGGTAAAACTGACCTAAAATCATTTTTTTGTATTTTAGAAACTTTTATGAACTTGTCAGGTTAGAGACTCACTGGTGCAGCCCTTCTGAAAATATAATTAAGCCTAATGTGTCATATTGCAAAGTAGTTTCTATCTTTCTGTCTCCATATTAGATTGTCAGTGGTGTAGCCCTACTTTTTTAATGTTTTTTGAAGTTTGTAATTTATTTGTTTACCTGTCTGTCTATTGGGGATGTAACAAAACAGTAGATATCATATTGTATCATTATGACTAGCATGTTAGCTTGTGGCTAGTGCGCAACCTTGTGTAACATATTATGCACTATAGAGTACAACTTTAGTGAAGAAAAAAATGTACTTTAATGTTGAATGCTGTATTTTTGCTGTATCAAAAAAGTATTACATTTAAACATCACTGCATTGAAGGTTGTGAATTGTTACATTCTATCTGTCTCTCTATCTATCTGTCTATCTAACCTCTGTAGGTCATCAAAGCTGCCATGGCCCAGGTGAATGCAGTGGCTGGGGGAGCCATTTCTGGAGAGGATCTTGCCAGAGCAAAGTGAGCACAATTACTGTTGACTCAGTGCTGAGACTGTTCTCCATTACAGCCTCTTCCCACTAACCTCTTGTGGATGTCTGGACCCTATATGTATCCGGATGAGATTTCTTATGACCCTATATTAAAACTGCATGACTCCATGTTGGAATGCAAATGCTAGTGTGCCAGTCTGAGAACTCCTAAATAATTAATAATGTAGCTGTTACAAAGCAGTACCCTGTTACAGTGAATTACTTGTTTATGGAAGAAAAGGCCAGTTAAATAACATGTCTGCTGTTCTTTGGTTTGGTTGTAGGGGCCAGCTTAAGACTGAGTACCTCATGGTCCTGGAGAGTTCAGATGGTTTGCTGGAGGAGATAGGCATTCAGGCTCTGACCAGTGGAGCCTACAGCTCACCAGACGCTGCGGCCAAGGACATTGACTCTGTGACATCCAGTGACGTTATCAATGTATGTGAACTGACTTGTTTTTTTTTTTAAGATTATTTTGAATGCTGTTAGTAAAAAAGGATTTGTGGCCTCACAATTTGTATGCCAAATAATCATAAAAATGTGTGTTTAGTTGTTTTAATCATTTCCGGTTTCATTTGGTGGATCTTATTGTCTTTGTAAATACATAACTGAGCTTATTACAGATCCCTGCAGCATTTGCAAAATCTAACTCCTGTGCCATATTAAGTGTATCTTGTTGTCTTTTTTTTTTTTTTATGTAGGCTGCGAAGAAGTTTGTCCAGAGCAAGAAGACAATGGCAAGCAGGGGGCACCTTGTAAATACACCATTTGTGGATGAATTATGAGGGCGAACAATATTGAAAAATACCAGAACATTAACTTACCCCTGCAACTGACAATGTTTTTGTCACTTGTCACTACTGGTTGAGGTTTGTTCTGAAACAAATGTGTATCAGGAGTGGGAAGTATACATTTTGTCAGTTTCACTGTATATCTGTTGTAAATTCATTAAAAAACTCCATCTACATTGACTACATAACTTCTCGCTTGTTCTTTTCACTCTGTGACCTTCTGGAGTATTTATACTTCACATATAAACTCACATCTAAGGCAGTTGCTGAGTATGTCTGCTTTGCCACCAGGGGGAAACACTGTTTGAGTCATCACTGCTGCTGTATCAGGCTGCATTCATGGACCAATTATATAATAATATTCATTGTTGCTTCAGTCCACTTCAGTAAGGATCACTCAATTAAGAGTAAAAGAGTAGTTTTTTTTGTAAATGCTCAAGCAGGGTAGAAGAATGTCCAAATATGAAATGAATTAAACTCTTAAAAAAAGTAACATGGAAAAAAGCTCTCAAGTTGAACTCATGTTAAAGTATTGCAAAATATGACTCATATATCCATTTTTTTTTTTTTAAAGTATTCCTCCTTTCTGAATCGTTCTTTTGTTTTGCTCTGCGAATTCAGTCTGTCATTAGCCTCAATAGGCAGCCATTTTCAAGCCAAACTAATGGGCATGTTGTGACCTTTGGGGATGGTTCAGTTGACGATGACAGCTAAATGTGCCAGCTGGTTCAGAAAGTGAAGGAAAGTAACTACCATTAGCTAAGATTATCATTGATGCTGAACCCCTTATGCACAAATGGCTTGCAATTGGAGGAATCCCAGATTGAATCAATAGTGATGAATAAGGTGAAAACTCGAAAGATTAAGGATGATTCCCATCAAGCTTCTTCTAAAATCCTCTCAGCCTAATTTGGAGTTTTTAAAGAAAATATTTCAAATAGAAAATGATGAGGATTGTATTGTGAGTATACATAATGATGAAGTGACATGGAAATGTCTGCTTATCCTTTGATGCAGGTTGTCCTTTTGCTGTTGAGATGTTGATCAAGTCTTGAGTCAACTTTAACTTTGAACCTGCAACAGACTGATGTACAAGCGGAAAAATATTAAAGCTAATTTATGATTTTAAGACCTTGCGTACATCACAGTAGTAATGCCCAACTTGTGAGCAAATTTCTGTGAATATGTTCTTTTACGATAAATCAGGCCAACTGAATTAAACTTTTTTGTAGCCTATGCATACACAATGTCTTTTGTGCTATAGACTGAAGACTTTTAATACAATTTGAGTAATAATAATTCACTATATTTAACTTCATAAAATCATAACAAAATCTCTCAGTATAAAATATTGTAGCGTTCATCACTATGAAAGAAGACATGGCTTAAGCACAAGTTGTTGTGCTTTGTTAATGAGCTGTTGTTGGCCACAGCTACTTTGTACATAAAGAAGGTTTTGTCTAATGGTTCGCTCTAAGCCTAAGCTACATCCTGTTCTTTCAGCCGTCAGCATTAAGCTGTGTCCAAAACTGTGCCCTATTCACTATAAAGTGCACTGTTTTGGGGTGACATCATTTTGTAGTGGTGTCTGAAAACAGTGCAGAAGATCCAGCACATTCCAACAATCCCACAATGCACCACAATAAGTAGTGTACAACCGATGTACCCTAGGGGATAGTGAATACCCACAACGCACTGCGTCATTTGTAAGTACTGAGCAAACCCATATAATGCTAGTGTCCAAAATTGTTTACTATCATCACAAATTCTGTTCCCTATAACAATGTGCTATATGGTGATCCACATTTTCGAATTTAGGGGACCATTTCAGACACAGCATTAGACTGACTCAGTACTTCTTAATCTACACAGAACACAGGCAGTGGGCTAGCCCCGTCTACAGAATAAGAGTCCTCACAGAAAAACCCATGGACAAATGCTGTAAAAGACATTAACCTAAAACTAACATTTTTTGAACACGCTAGCTACAATAATAACATCCTCTTGGCTGAACTGTCTCTCTTGCTGACCTTTCTTTATAAAATAATTAGCTTTATCTTTTTTACCCTCTTATGGTGTGGCTGATGGCTGATTTTTGGTAGTAATTTTATCATTATAAGCACGTAAGAATAAAGTTGATTTCACTTGGTGATCAATGATTTGCTGAATAGGACAGTTGGAAAAGTCGGTTCAGTGAACTCAATATTATCGCTGTTGTCCCAGAGCCCAGGCTACTCCATTGGATCTCGCGAGAACAAGGGTCGCTGAACGCGATGTTGGAGGGCCGTTGTATGTGTGTGAGAGTGACGAGCAGTCTGCTGCTCCATGTCATCTGAGAACGGGCTCGGACATCGGGAGATCTTATCTCACGCTGTTTTTTCCCCCTCATGCTCCGCGTTGTTATTGCCTAAACTGGAGGCTTTGTCCTTTTAGACACCCAATGAAAGCTGGGTCGCAAACACGGGCAAGTTTCAGTGCCTCTGTGGCGAGCGGTATCGAGAATACGGCGGGACGGACAGCTCGCAGCCTGCTTTGCGCTTCATGCAGATGCGAGTCGAGCAGAGGAAAATGGGGGGTGGGGGGGCATGAATAAGCCGAGTGAGAGGGAGGAGGAGGAGGATGGCTCTCCGCTCGCCTAACGGTATCGCCGAACGTAAGAAAAAGGCTTCCAGTGTGCCATTCTGATATTTCTACATCGTCCATACAGTCATACGGTGAAACGGCCTCCTCAAAAACGCCTGTCCGGATGGATATTTGGGCGTCGAGCCGCCGCAGGCCCGCCGTTCGCGCAGCGGATTCCCGAAGCAGCAGCTCCGTAGCGCGTTAGCTTAGCCGCTGTGCAAGCCGCCAGCTGTTGGCTTTTTGTTAGCGACATATTACTGAGAAAATACCGTTTTGGCGATGTAATTCTGCTCTCTGAGTGTGGCGCAAAGATGGACTGCAACCGCGGAAGCCATATCTTGCGATAATGTGGCGAAACTGGATCTGAAGGTTTGCCTCAGATTCGGGTCTGTTTTGTCGGGAGGGAGGCGAGCCGAACTGCTAACCATCCGGCTACCTGACGAACCGGTGGGGGTGAAAGGGCTCTCCTCTCCTCACAGAAGATTTTCCTCACACATTTCCAGTTTCGACACAAACTGAGATGGATAAACTGACCATAATTTCAGGGTGCCTCTTTCTGGCTGCGGATATTTTTGCCATAGCTAGCATTGCAAATCCGGACTGGATCAACACAGGCGAGTCGGCAGGTAAGACCATTCGAGTCGTGGTTGTTTATCAGGATACACAGCGTTATTGTGTGTGTTTTTAACCTGGAGTATCAGCATCATCTGTCTGTTGATAGTATTTTCACATTTAAAAAGGTTGCCTCATCCTCATAGCACTTGTCTCTAACGTGGGAGGCTTTTCCTGCCGGATGTAACACTAGCCTAATCCTTAAGACAAATCTACGCAATTCTTGTCTCTTTTTCCATCAGCATTATTTTTCCATTGTCTTCTCCAGACACGTGATAGGACGGCACTGTGTTCTAAGACAGTGCTGCATTTGTAGGCCTGTGCTAATAGCACACGCCTCCTTTAAAGGTCCGTTTTGTCACTACCCTTTAGGCCAGATGCTTTTTATTTATTTTCTATTGAACTAAATTAACAGTCACTTTTTTTCTAAATAGACTCCAACAAAAACGCAGGCGTTTAGAGGTTGTATTCGGCCAGCTACAGAATGTTTACCACAGTTTTACTCAGTTTTATCCCTCAGTGACTGCTTCGTTCATGTAGTGAGTCTAATATTTTTAAGACATTGCACGGTGTTGATCGGAGAGGCCTAGTTAAATACATACATTAAATGACTTTAGAAGCCCATACACGGTTGCTCATTTTTATTTACTTCAAAACAGAGGCTGGCTATTGATAGACAGCTGCGCTTTGTTCGCCATTCTGGGCAGCCCTATAAGTGGGTCAGCAAGGGTTCAACCACAATGTAGTGAATTCAGCCGGATTGCTCCAAGGCTTCTGTTTTGCTCATTTACATGTTATACGGTGTCGTCATGAATCAGGTCAGGTGCACTCTGACTCTTTTCATTCGCAAGAAGAATGTGCCACTTTGACACCTTTCTCCTTGCTTCAGTCTTAAGGGGCTTATGACTTTTATGAATTTTATGGCTTATGAATTTTAGTTTTAGAGCATGGATGTTTGTACAGAATATGAACTGATAGCCAGACTTGGTGTTAAAGCTGTTTTGTATAGGCCACTTACCTTTCAGGTGCCTTCTTTGGCATCTGCATTGGCAGTTTTTCAGCAATGTACACAAGCAAGCAGACGAGCAAACCACTTGAACTGTTTTATACTATTGGCTATGGGTTCCTGCATACAGGCACTGTTTAAGGTGAACATGACCCCAAATTTGCCCTTTAGTATTGTAGAATATGTAATCCTTATAATACATAATCTAGTTCTGAGGCTTTAAGGATATAGACAGTTTATGGTAACTGACATGAATATTTACCTATGTCTTAAAAGGGAATTCCATTGATTTATTTTTTAAATATAAAAATACATCGTCGTTGAGATGTAAATAAAGTAATTCTGAGTGGTTTGATGTGAAATGCACTCTTCTGTAAAATCCTACAGTGCCAGAATTGCTGTTGTTTAGAACCAGATGTCTGTAGCGTTTGCTACCTTTAAAAGCTATGTCACAGAAAGCTGTTGTGTAATGTGGTTTTAAATATGCGATCTGATGACGTTTTGGACTAAAACATGTATTCTTAAATCCAGTCATGGTGGAGAGGTACCTACAGGGTGTTCTAAGGCAAAATAGGCCCCATGGAAATTTAGTTTTTCAGATTTTCCACTATTTTACTATTATCAACATTACAAATAACAAGACACACATGTGGATTCACTGATGATTTTTAATGGTAAATAAAACCACCTTTGCATTGTATATATTGTGATCCCTGGTTCTTAGCATCAGCACTGTAAAGAAATCAGTCAGCGAGTTTCTGTATAATGCCTCATTTCACATCAAACCACTCTGAATGACCTTGTTTACATCGTAACGATTGAATTACACAGAAATTTTTATAAAGTCTGTGGAGTTCCCCTATAAGAAAAGACATTTTTATATGTGCTCATTTATTTAAATGAATCCTTTTCTTGCCCTGATGAAATGTTACAGTCAGTCTAATAGAT